AGAGTTCAGCTCAAACATAACTGAACCAATTAATTAAAACTGGTTGTAACTGAAATCTGCAGGAAGGTTGGTGACCCCTGCCTGTAAAACAAGCAATGAATTAACAATAGAAAAAGCAAGTCTTTTAAAATAGGTATATAATATTAATGTATAATATAGATTTAAGTTGTCAGTAAGAGTCTATTTGTGAAATTGGACATTCTGAAATTGGAAAACTACAAATCGCAAGAAGAGAGCGTACTGACTTTAATAGATTGTTAAAATAAGAGTGTGGTTGTTACTGTAGGGCAGTGATGGCATCAAGGCCAGGAGGAACTCTGGGACCTTTGGTACCCCATCAGACCCGCCCTTCAGTTGAACAATGAAGCAGCGGCATTCCTGCCACTCCAGACGCCACAGTGCGGAGAGCTCTGAAAGCGGTGGCATTGTGCCCCCACCACCATTGTTGGGTCAGACAAAGCCTTTTATCAAAGCTACTGCTTGTGTACACCAGGGTCAATGCAGGGCACACTACAACCCCACTGCCCACCACAGACATAAGGGGATATAGAGGACAGTACCTGGTGAGGAGCATCTGTAGGACTTGAGACTAAATGAGTGGGATGGAAGGATATCATTTGACAGGACGGATAGTACGTGAGCCTGGGAAGAGGATAAATGCAGGTGTATGTATATAAGCAAGGTCTTGCATGTAATGTGGGGTTATATCTTTTTCTGCGTAGTAGAAATGGTTTTGGTTCTATTTTCATGCTCAGTGTTTGCAAGCTTTTACTGTACACTTGTATGAATGAACAGTTGATATCAAACACTGTGTGAGAAGCTTAAATGTCCAGCCAGTGTATTTGAATGTACTGTTACATCCCTTTGAAGTATTTATTATTATTGTTGTTTATTTGTGTGTTCACTGCCCATTAGGAGTGGTTATGTTGTGTGTTTCTCTCTTAAGCTGCGGTCACACTGGGCTTTTTCTCCCATAGACTTCCATTTATACACACGCGAATGCATCAGACCGGAAACGCAGGGTCATGCGTCAAGTTTCGCAGGTTGCTGCGGTGCAAAGTTCAAGCTTGGTGAACTCTGACCTGCGAAATCGCATCACTAGACTGCGTGAGACCAATCGAGAATCAAAACATGACCTCTCTGGACAGAAATTTAAAATATGGAGCAATTGCTCGCTTTTAAAAATGTCTAACAATCTTGTTCAATCCCGCCTCTTTTTTGCAGCGCCGCACGACAAAATTTCGCATGCTCAAACTCTAATGTGACCGCAGCTTTACTCTTCCTGTGTGTCTCTGCCTGCTCGCTAGGTAGAGCTGATTGGGCCCAGGTGGTGCTCATCAGTGGAGCGTGCTGCTGTAACGCGCTGCTATAAAAGAGCAGTGTTCCTCAACCCAAGGAAAGGTTCACTTTCTCCCCTGCTCCAGACTTGTGGTTGTTGCATACTTTGTGGTTATTGATCCTGTTGTATATTGAGAGAAGTTTTTTAAGCTATTGGGTTCAATTTAACTTCTGTCTTTAAAGAAACTTTGTGTTTCTCTTGTGTTATGGAACTTTACAGGCATGGTGTCTGCTTTCTTAGTAGTATGATTTAAATATACTTTTTTGTGTGGTATTTAAAAGGTAATTGTATTGTTTCTTTGTCTGACTTTTTGATTTACAAAATGAAGCTGTAGGGAGGGGGTGCCATTTTTATTTTTTCACTTGTTTGACTGTGTTTCTTCATAGTAAAGGAGTTAAGGAAAACCTTTGTTGTTTTGTTTCTTTTCTTTTACCTGAAACTAGGTTATTTAGTACTCCTAAGCTAGTTCTGTTTTGTTTTATTTTTATTTTACTTTATTTTTTTTGTTAATACTTCTCCTAAAGACTTATGCTTTATTTATTGTTTATTTAATGAGAACAAAATAATCAAATATTTAAGTTTACTCTTGTGGTTGTTTCACATTTCTGAGGCACAGGATTGAAGTGTTCCCTCAATTTTTGTTTATTTAACCTTTTCACAATTCATTAATTTGGTCTTCTTTTCCTTAAATTCTAAATTTTAATTTACTTTATTTTCCTTCCCCAACCCTAGACAAAAAAGGGGAAGGAATGTAACAGTGCTCACAGTCATAGTTCACAATCAATACATTCATTCATTTGAACCACAAATGTAAATATTTAAAAAAAATCTGATCAATGTAAAAAGTTGAACAGATTTCAATGATCCAAAGTCTTAAGAAGAAAGCTTACTTACCTTGATCTCTTTATGCTGTTTTGACAGTGGTGAATCTATTACATGTTAGTCATCACAAAATGACAACATAAGTTGTTCTGTTCCAGTGGAGATGTCATTAAAGAAGGCTTAACTGCTGACTTGGATCATGAGTGCCTTTTCATAACTAATCACAGTCTTGATGTTCAGTTGTGTGACAGTCAGTTTGCAGAGACCATAGAGATGTATGAGAAGCGCCGTACAATGTAGGATCCCTGAATTCTTCAATGAAACACATTTTTTTCTGATATAAACTCTAAATATGGATCAATCCAAAATAAATTTTTAGATGTTGATAACATGTTTTTTAAAAATAGCCATTTTCTCCTACTTTATTCAGCATAGTGAAGGCCCTCCTCCATTGACATTCATAAAAACAACCTCTTGTTTTCTTAACTGGACCATTAGCTTAGATGTTTTGCTTTTTTTCTTTTCTTTTTTTTTTGCTTTTCCATCTGATGAGAAGAAAACTGAAGCAGACTGCGGCGTAATAAAAGCTTAGCTAATTTCATGCTTTGTCATGCTCATCTCTCATCAGCAATTACTCTAGTCTCGTTTTGCTTTTCTTTCAGCCTTAGGCCCAATCCCAATGTTTTTATACCCCTTTTTCTTCCCCTTGGCCTTTGAAACAGAGTGTTAAGGGGAAGGGCTTCAAAATCTACCCATAAGAAACGGGACAGCACTATGACACCTGCAAACGTCATCATGTTATCGCAACCTCTTACTACTAATGAGATCGACGATGGTGACTGCTGTAGTTATTCCAGTTGCTTTATTTTTTTGGTAAATATATTTAGAAAAACAACTAATAGCAACAATATCATGTTATTATAACAATATAATGTGGCAATAAGATTGTAACTGTACTGTGTATTTACACCCTGGCCATATTCATCTATGTAAACATACAAAAACAACATTAGCATTATAGCAGACAGTGTAAAAAGCTCATTCCCAGCCACTGGACTTTACTGCCAGGGTTTTCGAGTGTCATCGAGTGTCAGATGTCAAAGTATGTTGTGTGACTACTAAACCATATTTATTATTGTAGATTATAGGTATTGAAACCTAAACTTTTTTTAATCTTTTTTTTTTTTCAAAAGCATGATGGTAAACCATGAATGCCGTTATGAATGTATTAAAACATGTTTGTTTGTTGTAAAAATTGATAGTAATGACAAAAACATACTAATTTGTGCATCTCCTGGCCTCCGTGTGCAGCTATGCTGCTGTTGTAGACTGTGTATTCTGGTATTTTTACCCCTTGGTTTTCGAGTGTGGTTGTGAAAAATCTATTACCCTTCCCCTTAACCCTACGTCTTCAAGCTAAAGAGAATTGGGGCACCCCTACCCCTTTATGTAAACACACAAAACAAGGGGGAAGGGCTAGGGGGTAGAATTGGGAGTGGGCCTTAAGACTGATTTATACTTCTGCGTCAAATGCCGGCGTATGCTACGGCGCTGACGCATAGCCCTTCGCCGTGGCCGTCGCCGTCACTGACGTGCACCTCTCAAAAAATGTTACTACACGTCGCAACGACGCGTAGCGTAAGCTCTGTGATTGGTTGGCTTTGTAGCGCTGACAAGTCTGGGCGGGACAGAGAGCCGCGCGAATGGTGCGAGCGATTGTTTACAAGTGGGGAGTCCTGTGAAGGAGCTCCGGATGGAAAATTTTGTTTTGTGTTTACCTCATAGTTAAAGTCGTTGCACGTCCACTGGTTCCTGCCTCAAAATGAGCGAGTTTGAGCCACTTGTACATCCCGGAAGTGTTCAGGAAAAGCAAAAAAGCAGCAAAGAAACTCGACACAGAGGAACATTTACACCTCACTGCCAACTAGCGTTTCGGAAGTGTTAATGCAGACCGACAGAGACAGCGCGCAGAAGTATAAATGCACAGCCACGCGCGTTGCATGCGCCGTGGGTTACGCCGGTCACCTGACGCAGAAGTATAAATCAGGCTTTACTCTGTTTATAATACCCAAGTTTTGAATACATTAGCTCATACGTAAACAGGAGTTGTAATAAAGATGACAGCTCCCATGTAACACTCGGTCACTGCTTCAAACTACTCTTTTGTTTGTTGTGAATATGCACCATCCAGCAGTGAAAATGACATAGTTATAAGCAAAGCTCTTAAGGCATTACATGGAGCACATTACGAATTGTAAACAGCCTCAACTGTACTTGTTTGGTACTTAGGAACTAATAAAACCTTACAGTGATGTCTTCTTTTGTCTTTCAAAGTTAAAAATACATTCTTATTGGTTACAAATGCTATCATTTAGTTCAATTCATCTTTATCTCTGTAGCGCTTTTACAATGTAGATTGTGTTAAAGCAGCTTAACATGGAAGTTCTTGTAAATTGAAACTGTCAGTCCAGTTTTCATAGTTGAAGTTCAGTTCAGTGTGGTTTAAATTTTACTGCTGAAAGTCTAAACACTGAAGAGCAAATCCATCATTGCACAGCTCCACAAGCCTGAACCATGCAAGCTAGTGGTAAGGAACAAACTTCATAAATTGACGAAAGTGAATGACAAAACCTTGAGAGAAACCAGGCTTTATTGGGCACAACCATTTCTTATCTGGCTAAACTTCTTGTGTAGAGCTGCAGTCTACTTGTGTGATGATTGATTGATTTGATGATTATTTTATTTAGCGTGAGCCGTCAAACATCTGTATGATTCATTAGTTTGCTTAACTCCATGTGTTCATGGGTTAATCCTGCATCTTTCTGTCTTTCCCTCACAGACTGAGGACTGTCCCGTCAAGCTCCTGCAGAGATGCCGATTAACAAGAGAGCCCAAGCACACAACCCTGCGGCACAACAAGAGGATCCAGAGTTTGATCTTAATGGACTTTTATGGTTCTTTTTATTTGTTCATGTGCTGTCTCAGAGCAGATCCATATGTTCTGTCTTGTATGAGTTTAGTGCTTTATTGTGATTCACATCACAATGTTTTATTTGCTGCGTAAAAAGGGAGGTTTATCGTACGAAGACACCACAATCCGCTTGTCTGGTCAGGGCAGGTGCATGCTGTTTACTAGCATCACGCCGCATTTGTACAAATTCTATTTATTTCCCATAAAGATTTCAGGTGCAATTACAGATTTTAGTGTTTATGTTTACCGCTTGCTTAACGGAAAGAGCACTCAATGGCACGGTACAGACTACAGAATGGATGTGACAATACAGCATTAGTGTCTTTTTTTATTATAATTTTTTATTTTTATTTTTTACAAATGTCTGTCTCTGGTTTGGTCCTCACTCAGTATTTTATCTTCAGTTTTGGACTGTCAAAGCCTCCTTTTGTTTGTTCTGTCGTGAGCGTCAATGATGTTTCAGTCTGCTTGGCTCCAGGTGTTTGTCGCAATGTGTTCTTGGCATGTGGCGCTGCCCAAACATAGGCTTTTTGTGTCTCTATCCATATTAATTTTTGACCAGCATCTCCTCGTCTTTGCCAAGAGTCCCATAGAGAGAGAGAGCAAGAGGAGTGGGGTGCAGGAAAAGAGGGTCTATTCTGGGACTCCCCACATGAAATCTGCTGCAGTTGCTGAAATGTCACTAGGATGAGCACAGGGTTGGTGATTTATGTCATCCAAATGAATCTCAATTAGTTCTCGAGTTACGTTTTGGTACCTACAATAAACTAACTGTAAGGGGAACCCTTCTGCGACTTGGTGTGAGCAAACAGCACAACTCGAAAGGTACAAAAGTCCAGAAAAAAAAAGTTTTGCCTGTATGAAACGTTAAGCATGCTCTTATAAAGATCGAAAGGTCTCGTTCAATCAGCAACACATAAAAACATTTAATTTTAATGTCTCAAATTTATATTTAATATTTTAGTCTTACAAATCCGCTGCTCTGTTTCAAGACTCTTCTCTCAGTATTGTGGTGTTCATCAGGCAAGCGGTACAGTTCATCCTTTACACTCTATTATTTTCAAAGGAGTGATATACACACTGTTCAATCTTAAGGTAAATTATACTGCCTCTTTTTTGTTTTGATATTTTCTGCTTCCTGCACTCTGTTTTAAAGGGCAAAATCAAATGTGAAACTTGTGACGAAGAAAACAAAATGCAAAAACAGTGTATGGTACAGTCTTTATTAAACTCTCAGAAATAAAAGTAAAGGAGCTGACACTAGGGCTGTACCTTTTCAAATGGTACATATTTGTTACTAAAAATGCACTTTTGAGGTACAACTGTGGACTGTTTAGGTACAAATATGTATCTTTTGAAAAGGTACTGCCTCAGTGACAGCTTCTGTACCTTTGTTTCTGAGAGTGTATGCTCTTAGCGGTACAAAAGTGAACTTTGTCGTCTGGTAAAAGGACCCATTCCTCATGGAATTACCAAAGCTGAGTGTTTACTAGCACATATTGGCTAATACAACTCAGTGCTTTGCCTAGTGTCCCAAAACTGCACCCAAAACTCAAATTTGCTTCGTTTTTAATGGGACTTTAACATAAAAAGGTACAGGTTACTTTCTTAGCTAATGTTAGCATGATATTTGAAACCAAGAGAAGTTTTAAAGCACAGTTCTCCCCAAAACAATTAAAATTCTCTCATTATTGACTCCCTCTCAACTTGTTTCAAATATGTTGGAGTTTCTTCTGTTGAACGCGAAAGGCATTTTGATGAAACCTGTCGCTTCCAAAGTATTTGATTTTTCAAATAATGGTTACAGGTTGTCAACTTTGTGCTAAAATATCTTCTCTTGTGTTCAACAAGAAAGAAACTCAAAGGGTTATAACTACTTGAGAGTGAGTAAATGGTGAGTAAATTTTAATTTGGGGGTGAACTATGCCTCTTTAGAGCTACACTGAAAGGTATTCCGGTAAAACTTTATTTTGATGATCCCTATTGCACATTTTGTTGGCTAAAAGTAGCCAGTTGCTTCTCATTTGAGTATTAGTAGACTGTCTACTTAATTTTTGTTGACACTACTCCTTCAACAGACATTTAACTGACTATAAGAAACTTTGCAAGTGCATGTCAACTTACACTAACCATAACCCCAACCTAACAGTCTACTCATAATCCAATGAGAATTACTTTGCATGCAGATGCAACTTCAATTCAACAAAATGTGTTAAAGGAACCATCAAAATAAAGCGAGACCGATATTCCTGTCAAACATAAGCCAAATTGTTGAACGACACACAAATGTATTTTGATATCAGCCTTTTGCTAATGTATATGACCAAGCTGGCCGCTTGTTGCTTTGATTTTCATTGAATTGACATCTTTTATGAAGTAAGATTTTTATTTGGAACTTGATTCAAGTGATTGCGTAGAATATGGATGTGCAGTGGTAGAGCATTACAGGGATCGTTCATCCAGAAATGAACGTTCTGGCATCATTTACTACCTTGTTCCAATCCTGAATGAATTTCTTTTTCCTGAACGCAAAAGAAAAACTGTCAACAGTAAACAAAGGAAAGAAAGAAAGATATTATGGCAGCCGATGGTCAACTATTTGGTCACCCAAATTAGTATTATTTCTTGTCGTAGAAAGAAGCTGGTAAGCTGTGGATCAATGGGAAGGTGAACAAATGATGACAGGATTGACGTTTTTGTTTGAATGTTCCATTTTATTTAATTTTTTTTCTCATTTTCTTTGTTTTATTATCTCTGATGTTTTATTTGGCTTCATTTATAAATCAAAGAGATAGGAAATTTGTGCGTCCCGCTTTGCCATGTTTGTCAGACCTCACGAGTATGTTTTGGTACATTTGTGTTCTGTTTGTTATTGTTTTTAAAGTCTAAGCCTGACTGAAGGCAGAGTTCAGTTGTGCAGGTCAGTTCTTCAGATTAAGTCTGAGAGAAAGTATAAAAAAGGAAAATTTCTATGATTGTGTCCATGTGTACATACTGATGCTTTGATTTATCTTCTTTTTTTTTTCCTGCAGTTGATTGAAATGTCCTTTTTCCTCTGGTGGGAAAAAGAGAACGATAGCAGGCAAATCATTTGAGCATTGCTTCGTGTTTGTATTTATCTCTCTTTTTTTTGCTTTGAATAGAGCTATTGCAATAAAAAATGTTCTTGAAACATGTTGTTGAACTTTGATGTTTGCTTCAAAAAGCAGATTCAGGTCAGTAACATCCAGTGACCCTTTAGTTCAGTGTAAACATGGCATATTTGGCAGGATTATGAAACAAACTACTACTAAGAAATACATCTGAACTAATAATGCGTTAGAAGTCACTTTGTTGTACCAAGCTTATTTTTACAAGATGATTTATTACACAGAGTAATAGTTTAGCTTTTTGTTGTTCCAAATTTCCATAAGCTGGAGCAAAACAATGGTGAGAATGAGAATTAAAAAAAGATCTCAGTTTACAATGTTATTCTATTTATCTTATGAATTCTTCTATATATATTTATTATTTTGTCCACGATAAGTGTTGTACTGTTACTTATGAAGTTTGGCATACAGGGGTTCAAATCCTTTCCTCAAAGTTGTCCTTAAACTATTGAACAACATTCAATCTTTCCTTGGGACAGTTTTGAAGAACATTTTTTTTGTCCACTTCAGATGTTGACCTCTATATTTCTTTCTGGTCAAGTAACATTTAAACATGGAAGACTTAAAGCACGAGTACTTTATAAATAAAACCAGGTCAGATTTAAGAGTTCAGACACAAATGCTGGAAGATTTTTAAACCAGTTTAATTTCATTTGATTAAATTTTCAATAATTATAGATTGTTATTATGGGTTATAGAACACACCCACTAACGGATCATTTAGTTAAACCATATAGCAATATAATATACTCCAAAAATTTGACAAGTGTATTTAAAACAAAAAATTGAATGACCCCAAATTACCAATTAATATGTTACAATTCATAGCACTGCGAAAATATCTGTAAATTTGCCCTTGTGTGTTGTTGCGGGTGTTTTCATCCACTCTGAGGTGATTTTGAGTCTTAATTTGGCCATAACTTTTATTTCTGGGTTTCAGCTAGTAGAATGATCTTTGGTGACAAATATTAATGACACATATTTTGTGAAAATGCTTTGAGATTTAAAAAAAAAAAACTCAATGATAAACTCAGGACAAATTTACTATCCTTTTCTTATGTTCGATATAAAAATATCCACTAAATTAAACAACTGTAAAAAAAAAAAACAGATTAATATTAAATTTTTTTTGTTTAAATCTGTTAAGGAACCTCAGTTCTGATCAAAACTACTAAATTGTTTAGAAAACTACAGGATTTAACTCTTTAATTGCCAAATTCATAAATGATGTCACTGAAACAAAACGCACAAAAGGATCAAATGCGGTGTTGCCAACTTAGTGGCTTTGTAAATTAGCAGCAGTAAATTAGGGAGAAAAAAAGCAATGCATCAAAGCCAAGGTTGTTATTAATCGTTCACAAGACTGTGATAAACGGCAAAAAATGCAGTCCACAATTAGTTTTATGTTAAAAATACGTCATTTTGTGTGTTTTTACACCAAATCAGTGACATCATCTATGAATTTGGCAATTAAAGAGTTAAAATCCTGTAACTTTTAAAAACATTTAATAGTTTTGATCAGGACTGAGGTTGATTAACAGATTTTTGCAAAAAAAAAAATTGAAAAAAATTATTAATCTGTTGCATTTTTACAGCAGTTTAATTCAGTGGGTGTTTTCATCCCGAACATAACAAGAGAGTATTAAATTTGAACAGTGCACAAGGGTTACTAAATTCCTATATTTTGTAATTCAAACTTTTATTGTTATTTTTAATATTATTTATTTATTTATTTATGCTTTTAATGGCATTGTGTGACCTTGATCTTTCCCCCGACATTTTTTAATGTTGGAAATTTTGAAAAAGTGACATTTATTATCATTTTCAATAGTTTGATGTTGTACAGGGTGTCTGTGGCGTCTTAAACTTTTAAAATGTCTTAAATTTCAAAAAAGAGGTCTTCATTTCCCTCTGTCCAAGTAAAGTTACCTAATTTGGCCAACACATAAACGCCTAAAATCCATTTCAAAGCTTATTTTTTGTATTTATGTTTTTTTTTTATTGCAAAGAGATTCAATTTACAACAGCTGTTAGACGTTATTACAGCAAATTCTCAAAATTCCCTAATCCGAAAAAAATAATAATAATAAAGCAACACATCCCTTTACATGATCTTTAATTCATACAAAAACCATTTACAGAAGTCACAAGGCCATTAGAGAAAATTCTTAGTCTTTAGCCCTGTATAAGTCTAAAATTGCATTCTTCACAATGTCATTAAAGGGGTCTTTAAAAGGCTCACATTTCATTTGAAGAAACCTGCAGAAACCCTCTGATATATTGTCTAGTTTGGTGTTGTAAATTATGATACAATCTGGTAATTGCCAGTATATTTTCTGTTATTTTATAGACTTAACTCTCTCTCTCTCTCTCTCTCTCTCTCTCTCTCTCTCTCTCTCTCTCTCTCTCTCTCTCTCTCTCTCTCTCTCTCTCTCTCTCTCTCTCTCTTTCTCTCTCTCTCTCTCTCTCATTTATAATACTATATATTTTTTGAATATTGTCAAACCTCAAAAAATTTAAGTTAGCATTAGTCACTTTGATGAAATGCACAGTTGAGTTTTTACCATCAAATGTCAACAGAGCAGAGATCAACATCCCATAATACAATTTACAACCATAAACATTAAAACTGTAAACCTGTTAATTAACGGATAATTTTACATTGCACTAGAGATTACCCATTATAGTATTCCAAAACATTTTAACTATTTAATATCTTTCATTTTATGACTTTAATGTTCTTTCTATGCATACTTGAATACTGAAACTTTATTCAAATCAGTCATCTCGTCTTTAACCCATGCATCAACAAGTGCACACTTTAACCCTTCCCATAAGTCCCGGTGGGTTCAGAATGCTTATACCAGTAAGCAGTGTCAGTAAGAAGCTTGCGGATATTAAAGCGGATAACTGACCACTGCAAGTGAACTTTGCAGAGGGGCTCGACTTCTTTCCCAGAAACTCTGATCTTATTTCCTCATGAGTATGAAGCAAGACACTTAAACTGGGAAACTATTATCTCCTTAAGGAGCTCACACCACTGCAGAAAAGAAATCCACCAACACAAATAGTAATGTCTGAGGATTGATACCGTCCTTATAAACAAACTAATCATGTTGTCCACTGTTGTTCCACATATAACGATGCCCTTAATTGGATTCTCAGTATTTGAGAGTAAAGGTTTTGGCACAGTTTGCTAGCGTACAAGACAAGTCCACTATGCATTGTGCCTGATCACTGGATGCAGCTCATCTTAACATGCATAGTAGACTTTTACGCAACATAGCAAACAATTCTGGACCACATTTGACATAAAGTTGGCACAGCAGGGATTAATCTGGCACTGGCATACAGCATGTGGGCCAAACATTGGCCGCGTTTGGCACCAGCTTTGAGGTGGCACACGAGACATGGGATAGATGTCAAATGTAGTATTTGGCCCAGATGTTAAAAATTGTGGGCCACGTACGTTTCCTCTATCTTGAACCACATTTAAAATACGTTTAAATTATTTGAGTAAAGAAATATTTTAAAAAAACAGTCATTTCAATCTTCCTGTTTGCATCTTAATTTAGGAAACAATCATGATTGAATTATTTGAATTATTATTATATTAGTTTTGTTTTTCCTGTATGCTGCAAAAGAACTGAATTTAACTTACATGTATATACCCAAATTATTTTATTATTGACCATGATAATCATTAAAATGCTTGAAGAGCAATGCTTCATGGGTTTAGCAATTTCATTGCAATCGTGACACTAGGTCTGGCTTCCAGACAATGGCCAGACACGGCCCAGTTCAGGCCCATGGGTTATTAACTTTACTCAGACTTGGCCCACATACGGTCCATGTTTGACCCTTGTCTGGAAGCCAGACTTGGTCTAGTCATGTACCGTAATTCACTGCGGCATGTGGGCCAAGTTTAGTAATGTCCAACTTAATTTGTTTGTTTAAATTCAGCCCATATAATTTTTTTGCAAAGGGACTGAGCCAAAAGGAAATAAATAAATAAATGAATGAATGAATAATTGAATAAATTGTTTGTAAATATTAAGAATTGTAAATCTAATGAACCATTTTATGCAGTGCATTTGTGATTAGGCACCATTTTCATAGTCAAAGGGAAAACATATAATATAATAATAAAATGTCCTAATAAATAAACGTCCTAATAACCTGGTGTCAAATATAAAAAAGGAGTTTGCTGATGTAGAAGCAATCTAAAAAATGAGTTGCGCCTCAAGACGAAACACAATGAACTAGGGCTTTGCGATTTGGGGAAAACACCTAATTGCAATTTTTATGCCAGATAATGCAATTAAATTTTGGAGTCAAGCTTCAGCTCAATAATCTGTAAGCCGTGGCAACAATTCTGTGACAGCTCTAAAAATTATCTGTTTTTATTTAGCGTCTGTGACTTTGAAACCAAGATATTCCCATTTTAGTAATGTCCTGTTCTTCTTTAAAGTTATTTCCATATTAATGCTTCTGAAGCAGCAGACACCATTATCCCAACTGTCCGCACTTTCCTGTTTGTTGTAGTTTGGTTGTGCAATTCTGATTGATCAATTGGCTGGTAAGACTTTCACAGATGGCAGTCACACATTTGCTCTGGATGGGAAGAATTAAATAATACATACAGTTGAAGTCAGAATTATTAGCCCTTCTTTGAATTCTTTTTCTTTTTAAAATATTTTCCAAATGATGTTTAACAGAGCAAGGACATTTTCAGAAAACCAGTTTTTAAACACAATTTTAAGGATGGAATTATTAGCCTCTTTAGGCTAATTTTTGTTTCAATAGTCTACAGAACAAACCATCATTTTACAATAACTTGCCTAATTACCTAAACTGTAGTTAATCTAATTAGCCTAGTTAAGCCTTTAAATGTCACTTTAAACTGTATAGAAGTGTCTTGAAAAATATATAGTTAAATATTATTTACTGTCATCATGGCAAAGATAAAATAAATCAGTTATTATAGATAAGTTATTAAAACTATTATGTTTTAAAATGGGTT